GATTTTGGCCTTGGAAAGGGTTCAGAAAAGGGCAACTAAAATGATTAGGGGTTTGGAGCAGGTCCCATATGAGGAGAGAGATTAAAGCGACTGGGACTTTTCAGTTTAGAAAAGAGGAGATTGAGGGGGGATATGATAGAGGTATATAAAATCATGAGTGGTGTGGAGAGGGCTGATAAAGAAAAGTTACTTATTAGTTCCCTAAATAGAAGAACTAGAGGACACCAAATGAAATGAATGGGTAGCAGGTTTAAAAGGAATAAAAGAGTTCTTCTTCACACAGCATGTAGTCAACCTGTGGAACTCCTTGCAAGAGGAGGATGTGAAGGCTAGGACTATAATAGAGTTTAAAGAGAAGCTAGATAATTTCATGGAAGTTAGGTCCATAAAAGACTATTAGCCAGGGGATAAAATGGTGTCCTTGGCTTCTGTTTTTCAGAGGCTGGAGAGAGATGGCAGGAGACAAATCGCTTGATCATGGTCTTTGGTCCACCCTCTCTGGGGCACCTGGTGCTGGCTACTGTTGGTAGACAGGATACTGGGCTAGAAGGACCTTTGGTCTGACCCAGTACGGCCGTTCTTATGTAAGATTCTAAAGGCAGGGACACCGTCTTCTGTTTCTACTGACAAATAGGCTGTTGAGTGAAAACATTAAGGGACTGGAAAATTCCTCTACCTCTTCCAACAATTTTAATACTGGACACTTTTTGCAATAATCACTAGAAGAGGCCACATTTCTGTGAGATGAAATTTGGTATTCAACAAATTCCGTATAGCTACGTTATTCGTATATGCATTACTATCAATATGCTGCAGAAACAAACGTGTACCCACTCATACAACTAGAGTAGGCTTATCACTCAGGTTGCCAATTTTCTATTACACTGAGTTGCATAGGGATGGAACAAAGTTTGAGAACTGATCACAAGTCAGTTTCTTTATTGCTAGCATTCACTTCATTTGTGCTTGTGTGCTTACACAGACTTTATAGCAATAACAGAAATGCATACTCAGTAACTACCATATATCATGATACTTTGATACAAAAAGGGTAAAGTAACTTTGCAAGATGCACATTAAAGAGGAAACTGATTTAATCTTTACCACAAGTACCCTATTTTCTCCACCCTGACTTCATACAGTACATGCTAGAACTCTCTGAAGGCAGAATTGTGTTTTTACTGTTTTTTGTCTTTAATATTAATCTAAAATTCTTGTCCAACTTGGTAGGAAAATGTTTTAGGGCATGTAAATGAAATTGAACTAAGCATATAAAAACATAATATTTTGACTTAAATGAGTGATTCTGAAAAAGGAAAGAAGGAATTTCAGCTGTCTGGGAGAAATTAATGTTTCATGAATAATTGTGTTGATTTGAAAAAGCAAAAACATCAGTACAGGCAGTCCCCGGGTTACATGGATCCAACTTACATCAGATCCCTACTTACAAACGGGATGAGGCAACCCCGCACTAGCTGCTTCCCCCAGCAGACCAGGGAGACGCGAAGCTAGCACCCTCCCTCCTACCCCCCCCCC